ATTTGACACATTTTTTAATACAGCTTTTTGATAGCTTGGGTTTTTTCCTTTGAAAACTGACTATTCAAGTCTGAGCATGTATTTATTTGTTGTGGAAGTCCTCTAATTCTTATAAATTTGGATCTTAGTATTTTTTAAAAATGAATTTTTATTAATAAATTTAGGTTAAATTTAAATTTCATCCTGTTTCCCCCTTTCATTCTAGGGAGCTTCTTTTTAATGGAAAAAATAAGAGGAAGAAGGGAATATAAATCAGTAAAGCCACATATCTGCACTTGTGGTCCTCCTCACCTCTGCAAAGGAGTAGGGGAAACAGGCTTCTTATGTCTCTTATTTTAGGCCATGCTTATTCTTTGTGATTTTAACAATTGTTTTTGGTTGTTGTTCTTTCTGTTCATATTATTATTGTAGTCAATGTGTATATTTTTACTGTCTCTGCTGTTTATGTGAGTCCATGTTTTTCTGTATTTGGTGTTTTCACTGTTTTCTTACGCAGAGTAATAGTCCGTTATATTCAATTTATTTACCCATTTCCCCTTGGATTGGGGAGGTATTTCATTTTTGGTTCTTTGTTACCATAAAAAGTGCTGCTATAAATATTTGATGTTGTGTGGGGATTTTCTTTTTTTTAATCTATGACCATTTGGGTCTATATGCCTAGTAGTGGAATTTCTGGGTCAAAGAATATGGATATTTTAGTCACTTTATCTGCATAATTCCAAATTTTTTTCCAACATGGTGGCACTGATTTACAGCCCCACCAGCAATACATCCATGTGCTTATCTTTCCATACTTCTTCCAACATTTACTATTCTAATTTTTTCTCATTTTTACTAATTTGTTAGGTATAGGTTGAAACCTCAGTATTGTTTTGATTTGTATTATTCTCACTAGTAAGCAATTTGCCTAGGAATAGGTTGAAGCTTTAGGATTGTTTTGATTTGTATTATTTTCACTGGTAATTAGGAACATTTTTTTTTTACATGGCAAACTTCCAATAGTTTGCATTTCTGCTTTTGAGAACTGTTTATTTATCCTTAGCCACTTTTCTTTTGAGGTATGGCTTTTAGTATTATACATTTCTGTTGTCTATATATCTTTGATGTTCAGCTGTTATCTGAGAAATTAAAAGCGTTTTTTCCCCTCATTCTACAACTTTCCCTTTTATCCTAGGTGTCTTAATTTTGTTTCTGCAGAGCCATCTATTTTATCTTTTAATTTCCTGTGTCTCTTGTTTTATTGAGAAATACATCTGACCATAGATTTGCAAGGTATATGTGATCTGCTTCTCTTCTAATTTTTCATTGGTATATGATTTGTAATATCTGGATGGTGTATCTGTCATGAAATATGGCTGAGTAATTGGTCTCAGTCTGATTTCTGCTAAAATGCTTTTAAGTTTTTCCTGCAGTTTTTAAGAAATCTTAAGCAATTTATGTCTTCAGCTAACAAATTATTTATGTTTTGGAGTTCATCTGACAATGGATAATTGAATTGTTATTTTTGATTCAACTCTGTTTAGCCTGTTTAATTAATGTATATCTCTATTTCTTAACCAATGCCAAATGAATACTGCTCTGTCATATGGTTTGAGGGCTGGAAATAGTATTTTCCTCTTGTTTTCCAGTGAATCAATAAACGTTTACTTCACACCTACTGTGTGCCAGGCACTGCTAAGTGCTGGTTATACAAAGAAAGGCAAAAGACAGCTGCTGCCCTTAAGGAGCTCCTGATTTACCCTTTTTCATTATTTTCCTTGACAGTCTGGATCTTTTCTTCCTTCAGATGAATTGTTATTATGTTAATGATTTCTATGAAGTGTTCCTTTGTTATTTTGATATAGTATTAAAAGTATAAATTCACTTTTGAGGTGTTGTTTTTATTACTATATTGGCCTGGCCTAACCATGAGTGCTGAATATTTCTCCACCTATTTAAATTCTTTATTTCTTTTAGGAACAATTTGTAATTGGATTTAGGTAAATATTTAATAAGCTTTGGTAAATTGACTCCCAAATAGTTTATGCATTTTGCAGTTATTTGAAATAGGATTTCCCTTTCTAAATGCCTATTCTTTTCCTACTATTTTGTTATTACATTAAAAACATGTTTTTAATAGTTTACTTAGAAAATCCTAGGGAATAAGCAAATAAACAAATTGCGACAGTTAATAATACCTTCAGCAAAGTTGCAGGCTACAAAAGTTTTTTTACTTTATATCGTTTTGACAATTCTGAGGAAACGTATGTAACTAAATATGATATTCAGGGTTGTGACAAATTTAGGAAATTTGACTGGGAGGGTATTGGGTCGCTTGTCACAATTTAATCCTCCAAAAAAAAAAAGAAAACTGCAGTAAATTATAAGTGGAATGGAATGCAACAGTGTTTCTTTTTTGTGTTAATCATTGAATTTTTATACCTTTCATTTTATTTTTCAACTACTGAGCACTTTTTGAAGTGCTCATTTGAAAGAAACAAAAAGCACTTGTAATAAATATGTGTACTTAAGTAATACAGTTCCCATGCTGACCATGTCCATAAATGTATGTCTCATTCTGCTTCTTTCTGTCACCTCTTTGTCAGGAGTTTGGGTAGCATAGATCATGATCCTCAGTATTCTGGCATCATATTTGGTCATTAAGATCAGATCTCAAGTGTTTTTGAAGTTATTTGTCTTTTACATTGTTATTTAAACAGCCATCTATCTATTTCAACCCATACCCAAAAGGAATTCCCACTGTAAAATTCCTGATAAATGATCACTTCACTTATGCTTGAAGTCCTCTGCTAAGGGATAATCCCCTTCATACGGGTTGCGTGCTTAATTATCCTTGCTAATAAAAATGATAGGATGGTTCAGGCCTTTTTGTCTACTGCATCAGCCTACTCTCATCTTTTTTTGAAAATAAAGGTGAGTGCTCATTGACTCAGCTATCCTACTATTAGGCCTATGTATCCTGAGTGGTCAAAAAGGAGGAAAATAAATTCTTTGAGCAATGTTTATAAAACTCTTTTAATGGTAGCCAAAAATTGGAAATTAAGGGGATGTTCTCCTATTAACCTGGCTAAACAAATAATGACGATGTGACTGTAATGGACTATGACATGTGCCTTAAGAAACAACGAAATAAAGTGTTTCAGAGGAAACTGGGAAGACTTCTCCGAACTGTAGCAGAGTAAAGCAACCAGAACTGGGGAACTAATTTATACATTCAGAGTAATATTATAAAAGAAAAGAATCTTGGAAGACTTAAAAATATTAATCTATTCAGTGATAAACCACAAGTTCACACCACATAACCTCCTGCAGAGAGGTGACGAACTTAAAATGCAGACACAGATTTTTTTCTGCCATGGCCACTGTGGGAATTTGTTTTGCTGGACTATGTATATTTATGATGAGGTTTTGATTTTTTTGATTTTCTTTTTTCTGATTGTGGTTTGTTTAGTTGTAAGGGGGACAGTGAGAGGAACAGATTATGTAAAAATGCAAGTAAATGAATTTATTTAGGAAAATAAATTGAGGGTATCAGGATTTGCTTTGTTTTAAAGTCAGTACTGTGGGGAAAGATTTTTGTGATGATAACTAAATGTAATTGAAAGCCAGCAAAATTCTTGGGTAAATAATATCTTTGAGTCACTCTTTACAAGATCTTGATTTTAAGCTTTCAAGGTGAGTTGCTTAAATTAGGTTTAAACTAATTTCTGTGAATGGCAGGATCATTGTTCAAGAAAGTACATGTCATTTTGTTGTTGTTGCTGTTAAAAAATCATTGTCTCCTTCCTTCATATTTTTAGTCAATAGAATCTCAGGTTTCGAAGAAGTCTTTTATTACTGTAAGCCACTGAAATTAACATGGGGGAAGAAAATGGCTCATTCCTTCTTTATGGTATCATATGTGCTAATACTGCATTTCATAATAACCCCTAAAGTTTGGGAAAGTACGTCAAATAGAAACTTTCTGTAAGGTTGGGGTAACTGTAAGCATTGTAATGTCGTACTTGAAGAATAATGTAAAAGAAACATATATTTTAGGTGACAACTTCAAGTGTATTATCTGCTTTTGAAGATGGGTTCAAATTGAAGTGTTGGAATTAGTAAGATTTTCTTGAACGAATTGGATCTCATTCACCCCTAGGGTTCCCTTCATTATTTTTCCTTTTCTTTTTCAGTAAGTATTATAATGGATGGCTTTTTGGAAGTTTTTTTTTTTATGAGTTGACATTATTGAAAAAAGCATTTCGACTAGTGGGCCAGAGTACTTACTGGCTCCATGTGTTGTATGTGGAAAAGCCCCCAGTACTTTCTCAGCCTATTGAGCTCATTGTCTTTTATTTCTTTTTTTTCTTCCTCTTTTTATTATGAATTTAACAAACACAAACATTTGACTATATGATGAACAGAAAAGCAGGTTGTATATGAAACTGATCTTTTTTATGTACAGTTTATTTTTTCAAAAGCATATTTAACAGGACAGTAACAAAAGTGCCCTTCATTTGCATTTACCTCGCTGAACCTTTTGCTCTATTCTGTTTTTTAAAAAACAGTTGTTTCATTGATACATTTTTTGCATCGCTTTTTACCCACTCTACTGACTCTTCTACCTCTAGCACCATCACTTCCTTGTATAAAATAGATATGGTCAAGCAAAACATGAACACATTTGCAGGGTCTAAAAATGTCTGCTATGTTCATTTCCCTCAGCCTGTAAGAAGTTTCTCCCAAGCTCACTTCTTCAAAGCATTGTTATGAAGATGAATATAACTGTTACACTGGGAATTATTTGGAGAAAGAAAAACATTCTATTCTATTAAAAAGTTTTTTTTCTATAAAGCGATTAATATGATGGGAAATTTAGATGCTTCTTAGTCAATGAATTCTCATAGTTGGAAAGGCTTTAAAATAGATTTGTTTGACTTGATTGAGGTGCCAAAATAAGAAAGTTTTTCTGTGTCACTTTAAATTGCAGTTTTTATTCCATTTCTTTTTCTTTCTAGGGTCCACTTAATAGTGAGTCTTCCAATCAGAGTTTATGCAGCGTGGGGTCCCTGAGTGACAAAGAATTAGAGGTAAGAAGATATCATCCTAAAGTGTTTAACACTGTTACTATGTATATTTTTCTGGTATTTGTACAATTGCAATATTCATTGCTCTGAAGGAAGAGCTGTCTTCTGTAGTTACAACAGAGTTAACTTAGACCCGCTTGAAGTTTGACACTTTGAGTAGCACCAGTGAGTGTAATCATGACTTGGATAGGCCTTTATAAATATGTACAGCTTGCCTGTTTTAGGGTTTTTTTTTTAAATGACAATTTAAAGATACATTTTAGTTGTCATTAAAGATTTTTAAAGTCAGGTTTCTTATCAAGCAGATGACTTGGCAGAAGGATGACTCCAAATCTGTAGGAGTAAACTTTGAATTTTTATCAAATCTAAGAATTTAGAACTAGTTCATTGATTATCCAGACCCATTCATTTGTTAATAAAGTGTAGATTTCTTTTAAAGAATCTTTAAAAACAAATGATATCTGATGATTTCTTAAATCTCAGTTTGGAGAGAAAACTAATAGTTTAGAGAAATTCTTTTTTTAATTTATTTGCTTGTCCCCTCCCCTCTTAAAAAAAACCCCAAATATTATGTTATTTGATCCTCACAGCAATCTTGTGAGAGGTAGTTGGTATTATTACCCTAGTTTTACAGTTGAAGAAAATGAGGCAAACACAGTTTGTAACTTGCCCAGTGTGACATTGCTAGTAAGAAATACTTATTACTAAATACTTACTAATACTCAAATAGAAGAAGCCAGATTTGATCTTAGGTCTTCCCAACTATAGACTTAGCAGTGTACTAAGAAGTACTCTTGGTAGAGAGACTACTTTAAAAAACAAACTAACAAACACTAAAATTGTGCATGTATTTCTTTGTGTTCTTTTATCTATGAAATGCATGGAATTGCTAAAAGTAGTAAATAAGATGTTTATTTTTGATTTTATAAATGGTATTGAAAGATGTTTAGGCTCCCAAACACATAGGTAGCTTTAGGTTCTATTCTTAGGGCTATTTCAGCCTCCTTTTCTCTTATGAACATGTAGAAGCTTCTGGAAGAACTTTTTTTCTCATACATTTGAATTCTAGCTTCCTGAAACATGATGAACACTAAATGTTTGAGAAATAATTATTTCTTTCTGTGTGTGTGTGTGTGGGGGGGGAGAACAGTGCCTTCCTGTTACTGCGACTTTTAAAGTAGGAATAGTAAGGTAGAAGCTACTTAACTTTTCTTATTAAGCTCTTTCTCTTAGAACAGGAAACTAAAACTCATTTAGGGTTTGGCCATGCCAGTAGGGAATTGTATCTCCTTATGAATTTGCTATTTTCCTCTGTCCTTTTCATGTGCCTAAGTACCAAAATGCTAATTGTCACATTCGGTATAAAACAGACCCCTGAGAAAAAACAAAATGACCAGCGGAACCGGAAAAGGAAAGCAGAACCATATGAAACTAGCCAAGGTAATAATGACACTCTACTCCTAATATAATAGTAACCAGTTTTCTTTTGTACCTGCACAGGATTTACTCACTGTGGGTAATTGGTTTGTATACAGAGATTCCTAACCAGGGAGACCTGTTGTGCACCTCAAGGGAACATCAGGCCCCACTTATCGTCAACTTGCCATTTGATATACACCTGACAAAACAGTGTTGTTCTTCAGGGATGCTTGTTTTCCCCATTGTAAGGAAACATAGACCTTTTGCTACAGGTTTTTCCCTTAGACTGAATATGTATATTATGTAGAAAAGAAGACTTGTTGGAGTGTTAAATGACTGTTTTATTATACTCAGTGACTTGTTTATAATAGGCCTCTGGAAATTCATCAAAATGCTGGGAGCCTTTCTAGCTGCAATTCTTCTATGACAGTCATTGTTTGGTTGAATATTGGAGCCTATTTGAATAACCCTCTAGGCAAATGTCTTTAAGCAACTGATGAAATAATAAAGTGGTTTTATTGCTTGCCTTTTGCAGTTTTAAGAAATGATGGCTACAGTAGTCTTTTTGCAGTTTTTGCCAGAATCTGATTCATTATGAATCTTAGAGGAACAGATAATCTATAAATATAAGGATATATCAATTCTTAGATAAATCTAGAAAACACATCTGATAATTTGAATAAGTTTGTTTTGAATTATTCTGTCTTGAATAGTACTTACTTGTAAGGAGGGAAATGATTATAGGTGAGGTAGAGTTGATTTGTAATTAAAAATAAAAATCTTTAATTGTCTAAGGCCCAGAGGAAAGCAGACTATCAGAATTTCTTCCTTTCCTTTATTCAGCCTGTCTTCCTAAATAGAGAAAAATTTTCATTCTGTTTTATGGAGTTAGTATTTGATTCAATTGGCCGTTGTAGTCATGGTAACATTAAGGAAAAATTTAAACTTTTAGGGCAGTAGCAATGTATGCAGAAGCTCCTCAGTACATAAGAACAAATTTCTTCAAGATGGTAATTATCATTTTTTAAAAATTGACATATTTTGGTTTAATTTTCAGGGAAAGGCACTCCTCGGGGACATAAAATTAGTGATTACTTCGAGGTAAGTAACTTACTGAAAAATTCCTGGGGAAAATTTCTTACCCTAATTCCTCTGAGTTTTATGATCTAATTGTATAGAAAACACTTAGTTCCTTTCCCAGAATCAACATTTCTAGTTGTTGAGCTAAGGAGTTTGAGAGTTTGGCAGAACTACATGTATATATTTAGACACTCTCACTGCAGGAATTACTGTCCAGCAAGAATTTAAACCTGTGTATTCAGTATGGTTGTCCAACACATGTTAGAACTCAAAGGAGGTTTTAGCAGACTTCTGTCAGTAGGTTTTTTGTAAAGGACTGTATTTGGGTGTGACTATCAATGTACTTATAAGTCAGTTGAGTACATAGTGAGTTTGTAGTACTTAGTAGTTAGTGAAGCTGATATGTATTTAAAATCGTTGTTACCTTCAGCTTCTTAACCATTTTATCTGTTTGCTTTAGCTCATATTGAAGCTCCATAGGAAAATGTGTCGTATGATTATTTTTCAATTTTTTCACAGCATAGCATTCTCTCTCTGGGAAGAAACTGATTGCCTGGGTTAAGAGGATAGGGTTTTTTTTGGGGAAAGGCTCTTTAATGAACTGTCAAAAGCTGGGGTCTAATTTGTGGCTTTGATCTTTCCTGCTTTCCCTATCTGAAATAGCATTGTTGTGAATTATTTATATCCATTTTTCTCTGACCAGTTTGCTGGGGGAACCGGACCAGGGACCAGCCCTGGTAGAAGTGTTCCACCTGTTGCACGATCCTCACCACAACATTCCTTATCTAATCCCTTACCAGTAAGTATTTACCTGTTAAAGGATCAAAAAAAAAAGCCAAGGAAAGATTCAAGCAGACTTTCCCTTGGATTAATTATGGATGGAAACTAAGGAGGGGCAAATGGAGGGGGAAGGGGGAAGGTTATAGTTGGGGAACCACGAGACTCTTAGTTGTATTTGGTGAATCTAGTTTTCGTATATAATGGGCTGGTGTGAGGGGTTGGAGGACGAACATTTGTAAATTGATTGTGAATGCAGCAATGATAAGCTCCACCACAGAAATGATTATTAATCCAAATAGTAGAAATTAGTATCCTTGAAAAGCTTCGGTGTTTATAGTATATTTTCTGGCTTTAATCAACATGAGACAACTTAATTGTCCTTGACATATTCAGGGCTATCATAATTTATCAACTTAATCACTTGTTAAGTCTTGTCAATTCTGACTTTACAACATCTCTCTAATCTATCCCCTTTTCTCTAGTCCCACATCCACCACCCTAATTCAAGACTTCATTACTTCTTGTCTAAGCTACTGGAGTAGTCTTCTAATTGGTTTCCCTGCCTCAAGGCTCTACCCCTTTCTAATCTATCTTCCATACTATTGCCAAAATGATAGACCTAAGGCACAGAGGTGATCATGTCACTTCTCTGTTCAGAAAGCTCCAGGGGCTCCCCATCATTTCTAGGATACAGTGTAAACTCTCTTGTTTGATCTTCAAGAAGCTCTTAACAACATGGTTCTAGCTTCTCTTTCCAGATTTATTACACTTTACTCTCCTTTCACTCTGGTCCAGCCAAGGTGACTGAGCTGCTTTTCTTTGTTTGCAACATAACATTTCAAGTCTCCATGCCTTTGCGAAGGTTGACCTCTGTGCCTGGAATGCACTCTTTCTCACCTCTGTATTTTATAATACCTAGTTTCCTTCAAAGCTTAGTGCAGGTACTCCATCCTAAATGGGACTTTTTTTGAATTCCTTACCAGCTGAGACTCCCTTCTGAAATCATCATATATTTACTTACATGTGTTATGTGTTGTTTTTATCAATAGTATGTAAGCTTATTGAGGGCAGGGACTATTTTTGTCGTTTTATCTCTAATGGCTAGCATAATACTTGGTGTGTAGGAGGTACTTAATAAATTCTTGTCCAGTGACTGACAATTTTATATAAGCAATTGATACTGATTTCTTGAGAAGTTTAGTTTTGAGATTCTGGTCTTTATTCGCATCTTCTAAGTGACTTTTTTTTTTAATATTGGAGAGAAATTGGATTAATCATGCTTAATTCCTTTGAATCCTTAATTTAGTTGTTGCTGTTGTTGTTTCAGATCTGTGATTGGAACAGGGGTGGTGGAGGGGAGGGTGGGTGTGAGGGAATTCTCAGTGAGGAAATTCCCCCTACCAATGAAAACTGTTCTTTAACTTTGTAGTGTTAGAGAGTTATTGGGGACTCAGATCCCATTGCCCTTGCCTTGGAGGCTGACCTTTATTATACTTACACTCCTTTTTATTAATACTATGCCAAGTTAAAGGAGAAGCTAGCAGTCTCAACAGCTGCTACTTGGCCCTTTAGGAGCTTGAAAGGACAAAGAACTGGATAGGGTCAAGAAACTTGGGTTCTAATTCCACCTGTGGTACTGATTTTTTTGGGGGGTGGGTGGGTAGGCAATACTGGATGATCTTAAGGAAACTGCTTATTTTTCTTTAGTTTATTTTGTGAATTGAGTAATATTATGTCCCTTCACACACAGAACAAATGCAGTACTTCTGAAACATAACAACCTTTCAAAAAGCTTAAATGCAAGTGTTGGTGCCTCCTTTCCTCCTTCCCTGCTCCAGGATAAACAACCTTAGGTCTTTCCCTTCCCATCTCTCTCACTAGGAGTTATTAAGGATTAGTAAGAGCAAATGTAGCATGCTTTTACTTCTTTGGAGAAAGTTAAACTGCAGAATATTCTTATGTTTGTTGTATTTTTAAGCACCAAGTAGTATATTAGAAATTTCACATCCATAGAGGTATATATATTTGCTAAACCACAGAGACGTAGGCAAATGAAAATATTTAGCCATTATTTGTAATGGCTTTGACATCAACATTCGGTTCAGTCCTACATATTTTGATATGCTGAATTAGGTAGTGATACCTCTGTTTCTTTGTATCTCTTTAATTCTTTATAAGCTCCTGAACATAGATTTTAAAATTCTTTAGGGTTAAGAAAGCTTAATGAGATTACAGAATTAGAAGTTTTGGAGAAATGTATTCTGTAGGCTTTCTTAGTAGAAACGAATGGTTCCCAGTCTGTAGGTGATGGATCCCTGTGGTCCCAAAATCCATTCAGAAACCATAAATTAGCAAACATTATCTGTTGACTGGTATAACCTGAACATGTGAATTTTTCAAATGTTTGTAGATTCTGTTGTGACTAAGGAAATACATAATAATAGCTACTGTGTGACTAAATGAATTTGCACTTTATTAATCAATAGTAATAGTACAAGTATTATCCTTTGAAACTTTGTGAAACTTTTTATAGTAAAACGAGTTTCTCATGGTCAGTAGTTGGGTGCGGTGGATAGGGAGGTTCATCTGTCTCATGTCAGATTAGACTCATCCTTCCCTCAAGACAATTGAACTTGATGTCAGAGAGCTTTCTACCAGCTCTGCAATAAATAATGACTGAAAGGCAGTAGTTCTCTTCATTCATGTACTAACAAATGTAGTAACAATTTTAAATGCACATTAAGCCTCCAAAAGGAAACCAGACCTTTGATTCCTTGTTTTTTATATAGCCATTAAAGATTAGAGAACTCCCTTTGCCCCATATGGATAATGAAGCAAATTTTAAAAAATTCAGCCATATATGTCTTCTAAGCTTTTCTTTTTTAGTGTGAGTATTTGGCTCTTTGTGTAAAAACAGTATGGCTGCTAATGCTGTTATAAAACAAGTTTCTTGAAGGCAAGGAAGTAAGTGTCATATTAGTACCTTGGACCAGGGGTTGGCAAACTGTGGCCTGCAGGCCAAATTTGGATGGGGCGTGCTTTTTGTAACTCACCAGAGCTAAGAATTTTTAAATATAGTTTTAAATACAACAAAACTTTACTTACAAATGTAAAAACCATTCTTACCTTGGTACCCTAGGGCTCTTCAAAAACGAATTCCTCTTCTTTAGGCTATTAGATAAACTATAAATGAATAAATGTTGGCTTGAGCAGTCTTAATAATCATCTGTCCTTTATTATGCAAACCAATATTGGTTAAAAAGGAAGCAGTGTTGGACAATTTTCCCCACATTATTTTCAGGATTTTTTTCCTACAGAAAAAATACTTGCAACTGATGAGAGTTCTTCATAGAATTCACTTGAGCGTTTTTAAAAAAATTTTTTTTTTTGGTGAGGCAATTGGGGTTAAGTGACTTGCCCAGAGTCACACAGCTAGTAAGTGTTATGTGTCTGAGGCTGGATTTGAACTCAGGTCCTCCTGACTCCAAGGCCAGAGCTCTATACACTGCGCCACCTAGCTGCCCCTCACTTAAGCATTTTGGAGTCAGAGATCCGCTGAAGACAAGAAGTGAGAATGTTACGGTTAATGGGTATCACAAAGTACTGTGGAGCCTAACTGTAACACTGATCTCATCTTGGGGTCTACTTTTGTAACACTCAATCTGGCCAAATTCCATTTGAATGGATCTAAGATTAACTCGCCTCATTGCATCCTGTTCTGTAATAAATAGAATTATGGTGAAGTCTTAGTGTATTTAATAGTATTGTCATTCTTTTTCTAAATCTAAATTAAGTGGAAATAGCTGAAGTGCAACTAAGCTCAGTCTTAAAAGTCTTAGGACAAGTTTCTTAGGTAACTACTCCTATATAAAGTATTTTGTGATTAACTTTGGATTTTTCAAATTATATGGTGAGTTTAAAGGGCTGTATTCATAAAGACAATATGGCATAGTTTAATTAACACTTGGTATTTCTGTCAGAGGGATAGGGGAATAGGGATTGCACCTGACATCGTCTCATTAATCATGCAGGTCAGCACTTCCTCTGCACTATAAGGTCTGAGAGAGTTGTCCCCAGTACTGAGAAGTGACCTGTCCAGAGTCACACAGCCAGCATGGGTCAGAGGCTGGACTTGAAATCCAGTTTTGAGACCGGCTCTCAGTCCACTAGAGTGAGCTGTCTCTTAGAGAATCTGGTTCAAATCATGCCTTTGTCACTTATTATTGGTGTGACTTTGAGTAGCTTATTTAATCTCACAGGACCTCAGTTTTCTTGTCTTGTGAAGCTGGGACTCTAGATAGCCTCTGAGGTGTCCCATTGAGATTGACTGAAATGTTTTCTGTGTTTAAATATAAGTAGCAATAACGTGGTATGTTTTTAACGATTGATTTCAGAGTCATCACGTGTCTTGTTTTTTGTTCATGCGTTTTTGGATTTGCCTTTGATAGCTGTGTGTTCTTGACCTGACACCGATGCATGTTTTGGCAGAACCTGAGTTGTTCTTCATGTCTAAAGTGTATCTTTGCTTTAATGTGTGTTCCAGCGGCGAGTGGAGCAGCCGCTGTATGGTCTAGATGGCAGTGCTGCAAAGGAGGCACAGGAAGAACACTCGGCTCTGCCAACCCTGATGTCGGTGATGCTGGCAAAACCTCGGCTTGACACTGAGCAGCTGGCACAGCGGGGAGCCGGCCTCTGCTTCACTTTTGTCTCGGTGAGCAGTCAACCTGAGCTCATGTCTGTCCTTACAAGTTGTAGTCTACAAATTTATATAAAATGTAGTAATAATTTGTACATGTAAATATACTAAAACATATTTCTGTTATCTTCTGAAGGAGTGTTATTCATTCCCACTGTTTCCTTTAGTTAGCACTTGTGCATTTGTTTCTTTCAGATCTTTAAATACTCCAAATTAAGTCCTAGTACCTCCTGAGAAGGGGAATGTGTTAGCTTTTATTTTTTTTTTTGGTAGGAGATCCTCCTAGAGTGAATAGAGTGAGGCAGTTCCATTGCAGTGAACAATTTTTAATACTTTTAAATTTTTCTAAACCTCAGCCTGTTTATTTCAAGAATATTTGTCAGAACAAATCAATGTAGTACAAACTTTCCTCCGTGAATCAGTGTTTCTATGTGTACTATTTGTCAGATAAATGAGTTAGAACTTCATTTAGTGATACTGAAAGTTTACTGGCTAGGCATCTAGGTGACAAAGTCCCTAGAGTGCTGGACTTGGGAGTTAGGAAAATCTAGGTTTAAATCCTGCCTCAGGGATTTCCTAGCTGTGTAACCCTAAGAAACTAATTTAGCCTCAGTTTGCTTATCTGTAAAATGGTGATAATAATACCACCTACCTCATAGGGTTGTTGTGACAGTCAAATGAGGGAAAAAACCAGAACTCCAATTTGTCCAATAGACAACTTTTCCATTAGTCATTTAGGCTCTTATTTATTGATTGAACTTCTTTATTTATAATAGGATTTGACCAATGACTATAGCTTTTCTTTATATGTACGCTTACAATCAGACCATTATTTAAAATGTTTCTAAGTTGTTACTTTCATTATCTAAAACAAGAAACATGTCTTTTGCCACTATCTTACAGAATCTTAGGATTTTGGATTTGAAAGATCTTCAAAATCCTTTAGGCTAATCCTGACCAAATTGGTTATGGCAAAATGGTCTTTTCTTTATGCTATTGAAAAAAAAATTAAATTTGTTTAAAAAAAATAGGACTGATACTTATTGTAGGTGACCTGTCATCCCTTTTACTTCTCTTCCCTGTCTTTCTTTACAACCTCAGGCCTTTATGTTCACCTTCTTAGCAGGTCAGCCAGCTCCTTTCTTCTACTTTTCCCCTACCGCTGAAATCTAGTGAATTCTGTTTGTTTCCCCCTCTAGAACTTTAGGGAAGTCAGAAATACAGTGTGGTGTGCTGGATTTGAAATCAGTGGACTTGGATTCAGATCTTGACTCTGCCACCTATTGGACCTTGGGCAAAAATCTCTTAACTAGGGCCTTAAATGAGATTAGACTAGATTACTTCTAAGCACTTTTTCTGTTTTAAATCTTTGATTCTACAAACCTTTGTTCAGAGTGTTTTATAATTCCATCTATTCTTAAGTTTCAACCCTGGAAAAGATTACCCAGCAGGAAAGTCCCTTAATTTTATTTATTCATGCACATGTATTTTCTACCATTGTGATACCTTCACCCCTCTACCTCCCCACTCCTTTCCCTCCACTCCTGCCCATGGCAAGGGACAGGGACTATTTCATATTTGTCTTAGTTACTCTGGCACCAAGCACAGTTATTTCTACAGAGTAGTTGCTTAATTACATTTTTGAACTAAATTGACCGTCATCATGAAGAAAACTTGATTCTTTTATTTCTGCTCTTTCCCTCTTTGCCCTCTAGCAACTCATCTGCTTTTATTTTTTATTTATTTTTATTTAATTTTCATTTTTAAATTAAATTATTTTGATTTATCAACAATCACTTCCATAAACTTTTGAGTTTTAAATTTTTCTTCCTTTCCCTCCCCCTCTTCCTCCCCAAGACTCGCAGTCTGATATAGGCTATACATACACATCCCTATTAAACATATTTTCACATTAGTGATGTTATAAGGAAGAATTAGAACCAATAGGAGGAAACATCAGAAAGAGGAAACAAAATGAAACAGAAGAAAAAAACCCAAATAGTATGCTTTGATCTGCATTCAAACTCCATAGTTCTTTCTATGGATGTGGGTAGCATTTTCCACATTGAGGCCTTTGGAAATGTCTTAGATCCTTGTATTGCTGAGAAGGGCTAAGTCTGTCAACGTTAGTCATTGCACAAAGTGGCTGTTACTGTGTACAACGTTCTCCTGATCCTGCTCACTTCATTCAGCATCATTCCATACAAATCTTTCCACGTTTTTCTGACGTCTGCCTGCTCATCATTTCTTATGACACAATGATATTCCATTACATTTCATATACCACAACTTGTTCACCCATTTCCCAATTGATGAGCATCCCCTCAATTTCCATTTCTTTGCCACTACAGAAAGAGTTGCTATAAATAATTTTGTACATGTGGGTTATTTTCCCATTTTTATGATCTCTTTGGGATACAGCCCTAGAAGTGGTATTGCTGGGGCAAAGTGGTATGCACATTCTTATAGCCCTTAGGGCATGGTTCCAAATTGCTCTCCAAAATGGTTGGTTCATTTCACAACTCTACCAACAATGCATTCCAGTTTTCCCACATCTTCAGCATTTATCATTTTCCTGTTTTGTCATGTTGGCCGATCTGATAGGTGTGATGTGGTACCTCAGAGTTGTTTTGATTTGCATTTCTCTAATCAGTAGTGATTTAGAGCATTTTTTCATACGACTATAGATGGCTTTAATTTCTTCATTTGAGAACTGCCTATTCATATCCTTTGACCATTTATCAATTGGGGAATGACTTGTATTCTTATAAATGAGGCCATTATCAGAGTCACTGGTTATAAAAATTCTTTTCCAATTTTCTGCTTTCCTTTTTTTGATGGTATTTTATTTTTTTTCCCCAGTTACACACTAAAAAAAATTTTTAGCTTTCATTTTTACAAGATTTTGAGTTCCAAATTTTTCTCCCTCCCTCCATCACCTCCCCTCTTCTGAAAATGGTAGGCAGTTTGATATAGTGTGCTATCATGTAAAAATATTTCTATCTTAGTCACAGTTATGAGAGAAGAAACATCAGCAGGAAAAGAAAAACCATGAGAAAGAATAAAGTAAATGAAAAAATATGCTTCGGTCTGCGTTCAGAGTCCATCATTCTTTTTCTGGGTATTGACAGCATTTTCCTAAGTGGGTCTTTTGTATTTGTCTTGAATTAGTTCATGCTCTTTTAAATAACTAAGCCTAATATTAGAATGATCATAGAAAGGACCATAGAAAGGGAGATCGTAACAAACTAACAATTTTAAGGTTCTTTGTGAATGATAATAGCATTATTTAATTTCTAGAAGCAAGTTTACTAGAGGGTAACTGTAGATTTTGTTATTTGGAGAAAACATTTCTTAGGAAGCAGGGTAATTAATTTTTCAGACAGTTGGGGCTGACAACAAGACTCAAGAACAAGCCAGAGATCTGGGAAAAGGTGCAGCATTGAAGAAGGAAGCAATAGAAGACCATTGTTTTCCATTGTTTCAGCTCCTGAAATCTTCTACATTTCCTGTTTTCCTTCTCTGTAGCTTAGGGGATTAATTTAAGAATCTAAAGATTTTTCTTGAATGGACTCATTTTATTTTTTACATCATAGATATTTCCTTTTAATTTTATTTTTTTCTCAGTTACATGTAAATAAAAATTTTTAACATCTGTCTTTTAAAAATTTGAATTTCAAAATCTCTTCCCCCCTCCTCTTCCCCCTCCTTGAGAAGGCAAGTAATTTGATACAGATTATACATGTGCAACCATGCAAGACAATAATAGATATTTCCTAATTAACACCCCTGATAACTTCTACCATCTTCTTCCTCTTCTACTCTCCCATTATAGTTTCTGGAAAAAACCAAAACAAAGCAAGTAAAACCTTATAGCACAAGGAGATCCTGCCATTTTGCTTGTCCTTTACTACTTCACGCCCCCAAGTCACACTTCTAGTTCCTGGCACAAATTTGTCTTCGCTCTGGCAAAACAGTGTGAAATAGTCATTGAACCAAGAGAAACTTAGTAATAAGTTTCAGGCATGAGAACATACTGATGGGAAACCAGCTGCCCAGAGAAAGGAGGTTGTTCATAGACTAGACTAGCTGTAGCAGATGACAAATTTTACTTTTCCCTTAAAGAAACTAGGAATAAACTATTTTTGAAGAACTGAATAAGTTTGCCAGTCAGGGAATAGTGAGTGATCCATTGAAACAGCTATAAAATTCAGATCTCTGACAGTGAACAATTTCAGTGTGATGGGTCCTAATGACACAAAATAGCTAAAACTTAAAAAAAAATCTTTAAAAAATGTTAGGTTTGTACATCTGAAGATTTGAAACAAAGGCTAATAAAATCTTTCTCTAGTTTAAAAAAAAGCACAAAGAGAGAGCTCTTCAGGGATAAGGCTGGGTTATCTGATTGCCAGCCACTCCAGGCAGCCACATGTACCTGCTCATTTGGATTCCTGCCAATTCTATTCAGTCTTGCTGAGAACTAGGACTGAAATGAGCTGCAGGATTTTTAATGCTTTTAATTGTTTTGTGCTTTTTTTGCTTTTCAACGTGCTTTCACTTGGTATTTCTTGGGTGAGTTTTTATTGGACCAAAGTATTTTCTTTTGACTGTGAGCATAATGGATAGAGCATTGGAAATCTAGAAGGCTTGGGTTGGATTATTGCCTCAAACACTGAGGTAATTGTAACTGTGGACAAGTGCTTTTAACCTCGCTGAGCAGGTTTCCTTTTCTTTAAAATGAGAATAATAATGTGTTGTATGTACCTCTTGGAATTGTGGTGAGCGCGTATATAAAGGGTACATATAAAGAAATAAGTGTAGAAAGTATTTTGCAAACTTTAAGGAGATAGATACATGTCAGATTATTATTTAATAGTCTCACTTCTAATTGTTCTCCTGCTTTCCATCTACCACTCCAGGAATTTTCTTAGAAATAGTTTTCATTGATTCAGTAGTCATTCTCAAATGTCAGCAATGCAGAGGACTGGAAGAGGAATAACATTCTCTGAGCTGTTGGAATAACTTTAACAGAATCTATGTACTCAGAAAGGGGTCTTCAGACAGTCATTTGGAGTTTATTGTTTGTTTTTTGGGTTTTTTTGGCTAGGCAGTGGGATTAAGTGACTTACCTAGGGTCAGACAACTAGTAAATGTTACGTGTCTGAGGCCAGATTTGAACTCAGGTCCTCCTGAATCCAGGGCCGGTGCTCTATCCACTGTGCCACCTGGGTGCCCTCTATTGACTTATTTTTTAATAGTCCTAAGACAGTTGTAAAATTCAAATTAGAGAGGAGAGAGATAAGGCATTCACTGATGGTAGAAATGACAGGTAACAACAAGGGATAAAAAAACCTAATATTATAGCAGAGTATAATAGTTGGTGTTCTTGGTGTTAACCCAGAGTCATCCAGAAAAAGTAAAGCCATATTTATTATACTTGGTGTCCCAATGTGTATATGTTTTATTTAAAATGCTTAATATAGAAGTTTTAATATTACTTAACCCATATCTCTGATGGGTCTGTGCTGTATGTGTGTGTGTATAGATTTTTTTCCTTTAAATTTATTTATTTGTTCTTAGTTTTCAGCATTCACTTTTATAAGATTTGAGTTCTGAAAATTTCCCCCATACCTTCCCTTCCTCCTCCCCAAGATGACATGCAGTCTGATAATAGGCTACACATGTATGATCATATTAAACATATTTCCACATTAGTCATGTTGTGAAAGAAGAATCAGAACAAAAGGGAAAAAACATGAGAAAGAAAAAAAAAAGAAAAAATAGTATGCTTCTATCTGCATTCAGACTCCATAGTTTTTTCTCTGGATGTGGATAGCATTTTCCATCATGAGTCTTTTGGAATTGTCTTAGATCATTGCATTGCTCAGAAGAGATGAGTTTAACAAAGTCAGTTATCACATAATATTGCTGTTACTGTGTACAGTGTTCTCCTGGTTCTGCCCACTTCGTTCAGCATCAATTCATGCAAGTCTTTCCAGGTTTTTCTGAAGTCTGCCTTCTCACCATTTCTTCTGGAACAATAGTATTCCGTTATTTTCATATGCCACTACTTGTTCAGCCATTACTTAATTGATGGGCATCCCTTCAATTTCCAATTCTAGGCTACCACAAAAAGAGGTACTATAAATATTTTTGTACATGTGGGTTCTTTTCCCATTTTTGTGATCTCTTTGGGATACAGCTCTAGAAATGGTATTGCTGGGACTAAAGGTATGCACATTTTTATAGCCCTTTGGGCATAGTTCCAAATTGCTCTCCAGAATAGTTGGATCAGTTTACAACTCTACCAACAATGCATTAGTGTTCAAATTTTCCCATGCCTTTCGAGAGAGATTTTTAAAGGGCATATTGGGAGTTAGATGGATTGCATGTGTGCATTAATGATGAATTTTTAGAACTATTTTGTAAAGTGCCTTATAAATCCTAAACCAGCATTGAATTACAATCAGTAAGTTATAGTATTAGAAATTCACCTGAATTTTTTGGCCACTGAGTGTTCATAGGTGATGTTTACCCACTTGATGGATTTTGTGTTGATGATTAACTAAGTTAAGTGTCAGAGGTTTAATTAATAGAATTTAGAGCTGGACCTTAGAGATCACCTTGTCTAATTTAGATTTTTCCATGTAAATGAGTTATTTTTGTGATGTTGGGAGAAAGCATTGGAATAGTTAAAATCCCATTCTGCCAACATGGTGTATACTTTAACTTGTGTATTGATAATGAATGATAAGTCCCAATTTATGTTTAAAAAGTTGCATTCTTGTTAGTCTTTGGAGGAAAATTAAAAACCTTCTGGTGACTGGTCTTGTGTCTTATTACAGGCTCAGCAAGGCAGCCCTTCTTCTACTGGATCTGGCAACACAGAGCATTCCTGCAGTTCCCAAAAACAGATTTCCATCCAGCACAAACAGACACAGGTATAGCAAGAAATAACTCACTTAGGAACATGTCATATCACATATAAAACATGTCACTTCTCAGTTTTTCATACCAGTGGTCTACCTTCGTGTCTTGTTAGGGAAGAAAATTGAGAGAGTTTACCTTGTGTGTGAATTAGGTACTTTGGAGGCTATTTTAACTCTGAGTGTATTTGTCATTTTAGTACTTTGAAATAGAAAATTTTGTATTATTTAGCGCTCTTTAAAAGTTACTGTGCTACCAGAAGCAAAATTTTAAATTTAGAATTCCCGTACTTATCTAGCAGGACCTTTCTTTTTTTTTTCAAATATCAGTGAACTACCATAAATACTCCATAAGGAATTTTAATTCAGGTAGCTTTATATTTACTTAAGGTCTGGAGTTGGAAGTGAGTTTTATATGATTTTAAAATTTAGAAGCTGGAAGGGACAGGACAGTAAGAGCATCAAGTTCAGCTCCCACATTTCATGGTCACCTACATACAAAACCCTGTTAGGTGTATTTACTCCATTTCGCAGTATTCTTTTGGCAGGATGTATGAGAGACAAGTGATTCTTTCAGTCTTATTTAGTGCTGTTATCTTTAGGACAATGCGCTTGGCATTCTGGGAGTATATATAACATTTCAGAAGCCATGGTCTCCATAGAAGTGGAATACCTGACCCCCCCCCGCACTCCTTCCCAAATTCTATGAATAATTGTGTAGTCTGTATTTTAGATCTTTTCTTTTGCTTGCCTTGTTTCCACTAGGTGGCATGTTTGTTCTTTATAGGACATTTCTTATATGAAGTCCGGTATTAATCAAAGTGGCTCATTTTTGGAATGTTGTATGTTTATATTTTTCACATATTCCATTGGCATATCACCCCTGGTTTCTCAGATGCCAAGTGGTTTGTGAAGTGATGTATTTGAATCTAGGGTTAACATTTTTAAAAATGCAGAACTAGAGTCTTATTGGCCATGTTTATGAGAAATTGTTAAGGGTTAGAGAATGGCCTAGGTAAAAGGGATATTTCCTTAAGGCATAGGATTACGGTTCACGTACATATGCTAATACTATAGAATCTTAGCTCATAAGGGCAAAAAGTTAAAGCTGGGCTTCTGTATAGATGTGACATTCTTAGTGAATAACTCTTTTTTGTTTCATTTTTTCTCACTACAGTCTGACCTCACGATAGAAAAAATATCTGCGTTAGAAAACAGTAAGAATTCTGATCTGGAGAAGAAGGAGGGGAGGATAGACGATTTATTGAGAGTGAGTGTTAAATTACATTTGTTTGAGATAAAAACATGAAAATTCATAATAAGCATAGATTTCAATATTTGGAGCACGTGAAGTATAGCAACAAATTAGATTAGGGCTTCTTAAAATCCTTTTGGCAGTTTCTGGTGAAGCCTGTGGACTCCTCACAATAAAAATTTTAAATCCATAAATGTAAGATACATAAAATCACAGTGGAAACCAATTGTACTGAAATGCATTTATCAAAATATTTTTCTAGAAACCATAGTCCATAACCCTGAACTAAATAATATATGTAATATACCGTCTAACTTCTTTGTAAACTTTAAAGTACTCTACAAATGAGAACTATTGATTATTCTTCACAACATTTACTACCTGTGTGATCTTGGGCAAGTCACTTAAACTCCCTCTGCCTCAGTTCTAAAACTGAGGGAGGATTCAATCACATGACCTGTGAGTTCTTTTCCACTTCTAAATCTATCATCCTAAAGTCCTATTCTGATACCTCATCATGGTGTGAAAGTGATCTTGGACCCTTGAAGGCTATGCCAGTGGAGTAGAAGCTCTGCTAGAGTCTACCACATTGGAAAGGGTTAAAAACATAGATGTAGCAATGGACTCTGTCATAAGAGAACCAACCTAGCTAAGTTTAGCAAGGCTTATCAATAGGGGTTTGGTCAGCCACCAGATGTTAATTTTTTTTGGCCACAGAAACTTGTGAAAACATCTACTAAAACAAAGAGGGATTGCAGCCTATGTGGGTGAAGGGAGTAGCCACATCAGTGAAGCCACAAATGTTTTGAAATACTGAAGAATTGTGTGGGTTATATAAAAGTGAACTAAAAAAAGTGTTTCGAGGAGCCAAGTGACAAGATCTCTGAAGGTTCCTTCCAACTTCTGTGGCTTATAGAAAGGTAAATAGTTGTATTTGGGTATTCTTTATTAGTCTGTTGTTGAATTTTGGAAGAAGACAAATCTGAGGTGTTACCTATTTCTGAGCACTTTCTTCAGATGCAATGCTTCATGTTTAATTTGATGCAGCAAAGCCTTTGTCTGGGTGGATAATTTACTTTGATGACTACAGTTCATCTGTTACTTCTTGTACTATAATATGACTCTTGTCTATATTCTCCTGTAAATCTCCAGTGGTGAGCCTATGTATACCCACTGTGCTGGGGGGAGGAAGAGAGTCTTCCTTTAGTTTTTGTTTTTTATTGTATAGATATCAGTGGAACAAGGAGGTTGTTTGTTTATTATCCCTCACCACTTAACTGGTCTTCCTTCTTTTTTGGACCTACATCTATCTGATGACATCATTTGCACCCCTTTTCTTGAATAATTCTTTGTTGGTATTGCATTGTTGCCTACTCATGCTTCATATACACTCCTGTTGTCTTGGGGTGATTAACAATTTTAATTCTTCATAAAATTAAAGTATTCCATGACATTCCAGTACAGTTATCGTATGAAAAAAATATTTATGTTGAAAAAATAAGTCTTTGTTTTTGGTAGAAATTTGTAGTCATTAAAAAGCAGTATATAGTTTCCTAAAGACATTTCTCCTCTCTTCCTTTTGCACCACTCCATTTTTCAAGTGTGGCCAAATTTTCCTGATTTATCTATCTCATTTAGGAAGCTTCACAGTGGCTTCATGTGGCCAGACATCTGCAAACAGGAGTATCAGGAAGCTTTGCATTCTCTTTTCCTCTTGGTCAGTTATGTGATGGCAAAGATACGTTCAGATGTGTCTTGGGTGCATGTATAGGTTATGTTTATAAAAAAATTTTGTACGGGTGGGAAAAGTAGGTATGTTCATTGGTAGTTATTAATATTCTTTGGATCATTACAGACATAGAAAAAAACCTTAGATCTTGTTACAAAAAAAATTGATAGTGAAGAGTTTATTATAAAAAATCCTTACACAGCTCCACGTTTTCTTGTTTATTGTTATTCCATTTTCTTCCTTAAATGCCCTTAGAATGACCTTGTTAAATTGGATCTCTATGCCAAGCCACTGCTGCTGCTTTTTTTTTTTTTGCTTTTTGCTTTTTGGCGAGGCAGTTGGGGTTAAGTGACTTGCCCAGGGTCACACAGCTAGTAAGTGTCAAGTGTCTCAGGCCGCATTTGAACTCAGGTCCTCCCGACTCCAGGGCCAGTGCTGTATCCACTGAGCCACCTAGCTGCCCCCTCTACTGTTTCTTGTTAAAGTAATATGTTACTCATCATCTCCCGTAATTCTCATCTTTAAGATCTTACAAGCAAATTTATTCTCTGAAATGTTGCCATTGGTTGCCATATCTCTCTTTGTTTCTCAAGGAAATCAAGCGTTTTTGTTGACTGAGTAGGTTTCTAAGGTCTTTTAGTCTCCGTGATGTGGTGATTGTGTTATTCAAATTTTCTTTGTCATTAACTTATTTCACTGGATTAGAGTGAAGTTTGCTCAATTTCATGGCCTATCTTCATCTTTTTTTTTCCTTATAGTTTGATAATGGTTTTGATCTTTAACAAATCTTGACTGTACATAGGCAATTGATTTGGGAATGACACATTGGTAACTAGTCATTTCCTGTTATAATCAATTAAAATTTTTCTGATATTTGGTAATTTCCATCATTTTGTAGGAGTTTCTGATTCTCTTCTTAGAAACAATAGTCATGATAATAGGTATGAAACTTCTGTGTGGTTGACAGACCCTTTATTTTTTACTCTCCTGAACCATGTTTTCCAACATAGTTTTCCCCATCCTGCTCTATGCTAACATTTGCATTGATGTTACTAAGAGTCTTCTCTGCAGCAGTTGTTGGTCTATAAACCACAATTATTTTCATTGTGGTCTTTTTTGCAAATGTTTATTTGAAGTAAATATCCCATTAAATTATATTTCTTGTTGCATTTGGGCACAATAAAACCAACTCTGAATCTGCATCTGCCTGTCTAAGAAGAAGCTGTGAACATACCTCCATTTTAACTGCAACTTCCTTTGTGATGGTGTTTCATTTATAGGAAGAATGTCGAAATTCATTTGTTTCTTCTTCCGGTAGAGTGACTGATCTTTGGTCATTAGACAAAGATTTCTCATTTAGTGTATGAAGAGCTGAATTACTGCTTCCAGATGATCTAAAAATTGTGGCTCTTAAAAACTTTTGCTCCCTTTTCTGCCGTAGTCACCACAGAAGTGGAGTGCCTAATACAACGAAATTTCTGTATTCAGAGTAGTACCAAAGAAGAAGACTTTGAAATGTGTTATCATTATAACAGTAATCATTGGGATTGCATATAAAATAAATTTTCCTTTTGTCTTCAAAAGAACTTAATTGTTAATATTCCTATATTTTTATAACAGCTTTACTGGGATTCTTGCTAGACCCAATTCTGCATTCTGAGCCATTTAAAAACTTTTATATGTGACCGTATATAGGCTTGCTATCTCCCAAATAAGGCCTTTGGAGGGGGCAAAAAAAAAGCTAGAAAGCCAAGAATGAGAAAGACATATACTGCTGTTTTTAAGATATTTTAGAATTAATTACCGTTTGAGATAACTGTTTTTCCTTTTAAGTTGAAAAAAATATTAATCTTAAAAAGTAATATTCTATAGTTCATAACTGTATTATAAATATTATAAGGAAAGATTTTAGATAGACATTGACACAGACAAGTGAGCCAGCAATGTATTTCTAAGCCAGACTGAGAACCTATGCCAAGGTCATAATATCTATCTAAAATATGTTTCAGAAACGTTTCTGAAATTCTTCTTCTTCTTCTTTTTTTTTTTTTTGGCTAGGCAGTGGGGTAAAGTGACTTGCCCAGGGTCACACAGCTAGTAAGTATTATGTGTCTAATGCTGAATTTGAACTGAGGTCCTCCTGAATCCAAGGCCTGTGTTCATCCACTGCGCCACCTAGCTGGCCCTGTTTGTTGCTAATCTTTATGACCAGGCACTAAACGGTTTAGAGTTAGAAATCTTGTTTATAGACTTTTAGCCCCCACTGCCAATTAAGAGTTTAGAAAGATTTTGTTTTCAAAATATTTAAGTTATGTTAGTATTTGTCTAGTTGAATATTGCAAAAGAGTGCACACTTTAACATGAGTGAGTTTAGATTTGTTTAAGCACTTTGATTATGGATTTATAGGTCTACCTTTTCATCTGTATCCTACTGAAAAGTTAGGTGAGTTATATACATTCTAACTTTTGTTACGATATGACATTATGAGGAAAAATAATAGGATGAGATTATAGTTAAATTTGTTGGGGCTGGCTGAAATTACTTTCTTTTGGAAGTGAGAGCCTCCTCACATGGATCATTTGAAAACTGAGCCAGAGGAAGCCTAGGTTATTTTAACAAGGTACATAGTAATACATATTTTTCAAGTACTTTTACTTACACTATCATTTGATTTTGAGCTACCAATTTTGATATAATCCTATGATTTCAATTATAGTAAAAGTTAATATCAAGAAAGATCTCACTGTCAGAATTTCTAGTGTTGTGAAATATGAGAATTGCTTTAGGTTTTGCTGATTGCTTCCTTTCTCTGTAATAGTAGGAGGCGTGAATTTTTCAGAATATTTACTCTATTGTATAAGCTTTTAACCAGGCAGAATATGTATATTCTAGCATTCATTTCTGAAGCGAGGACCAAGAAAGTTATGTGGATATTGTGCATTGATTCTTTTCATTGGGGATCACCTAGTAGAATGATTTGGTCATAGACATGTCTTACTTTTGTTTTAGGGCAATTAATTTAAATTCTTGTATTTATTTTGGAAATGGAAATGAAAGATAGAAATAATCTTTGTTACACATTCTAAGGAATATCTTTTTGTGTCAATTACCAACTTTTACCGTTTGACAACTCTTCTAAGAATCTGTTTTTGATGGCATTTCAAGCTGAATAAATTTTTTAAATATGAACTATAAACAAGAATTTTTGTATGTGTTTTTTTTTAAATATTTAGGCACATTAGATCAAATAGAAATTTTTGAGGCTGTTGGGGGGTACAGAATTTGTTCTAGCGACAGTTCATATTTAACCCATTTTCTGATCAGTTTGACCTAAAGAGGTAAGTGAACTTATTTTATCTCTCCCTTTCAGACTTGCGTTGTTTTTGATTTAGCTTTTGATTCACTTTTCCCTTATCCTGTTCTCTAGAATCAGCTTTATTAAACATGCTTCCTGAGAATTAATTTAAGAGTAATTAACAACCTTTATTTGTTTTCCTCACTGAAGGCAAACTGTGATTTAAGACGGCAGATTGATGAACAGCAAAAGATGCTAGAGAAATACAAGGAACGATTGAATAGATGTGTGACAATGAGTAAGAAACTCCTTATAGAAAAGGTTAGTAACCTGGAGTTTGTATTTAAAGCCATTTAATAGTGTAGGGGAAGGAGTAAGGGAGGACGCTTTGGGATTTTAGTTAGAATTTATTCTCTGAGTACTGTACCAGTGTGTCAGTATATACCTGGGGAATATACTTGCACTGTGACAAAGGGACAAACTGTTGTGGCTGCATTTTTTTAAAGAGACTTTTAGGCACATTACTTGTATTTTTTATTACCTACATTTCCACTTATATCCTCCTCCCTCCTAGACAGCCATCCCCTGTGATAATGAGTTTTTTTTATAGTCCCAACTGAATCTTTAGTATTGATATATACTCTGTTCTTTTACCTGTAACCATTGTAGAAATGTTTTTGTTGTCTGCTCTGTTCCTTTTAGTATAAGGAATAGTTTCTACATATGCTAACATGTAAATAAAGTGAAGTATGCTTGTTTTTGTTCTAGAATACCTGGAATAGCAAAAGAAATGAAGTCCAATTTATGCTAGTAGCTTAGGAGTTGCAAACTTCATGGTCTTTAGTGTCAATAACCTAAATGTTTGTTTTCCCATGAAATTGTTGCAAGTAAAGTAAAGAAAGTTTTGCAGGTAAATAGTAGGATGTTGGGCATTGTTACTGATGCTTAATTAGGTGGTGTTTTTAAAAAGGCTACTACGAAGTGAAGGGATACTGATAAAAGACCATGAAGATGATTTTACCAGAGCATGGGGAGGAGCTAGGAGTGGGGTTGGCAAAAGCTGTTTTAGCCTTTGATTCTAATCAAATGAATGCAACTTAAGGTCTATTTTATTTATTTATTTTTGTATCTGGTGTCTAGCACAATGCCTTGTATATAGTAATAAATGCTTATTGAAGGAATAAATGATTTAGTAAGTTGTAAAAGGTAAACATAATACTTTGTCCGGAGGTTATGCAGTCACTCATTTATTTAACATTTTACTTCTATGTGAGGGTAAAAATTTCAAGAAATTAAAAATGTATCCTATCATGTGGCCCAGGGTCAGGTGAGAATTAACTTCCTGTCTATAATTATTAATTATATTAATCTGTAATATCCTGACAACTGGTCATAAAGTTGTCACGATCATAAAGTTCTCTGAGTAAAAGATGGATGAACTCTTACTTATAAAGGCAGGAAAATTGATAATACTTAAAACAATTTAAAAAACTATTTTCTGCTATTTATAAGGCACTGAGTTGGTTCGTGATGGTGTGAAGAGATGATATATGTGTCACGTGAGTTGAGAGTAATCCTATTGTCCAGGACTATCAATAACGTCGTGGTCCCTGATCTTCATAGTGTTTAAAAAAAGGCCACATTTTTTCTTATCTGAGACAAGGAAATTTCAAAGTTTAAGTGAGTTTTAAAATAAATTTCTGCTATTTATATAAGAGACTGAACTGAAGCTTGAAAAGGTATGATGCATGCCTGATATATAAATGCATAGTTATATATTGATAGATATTATTGCTATATTGATTATAATGAAATATAAAATAGCACCCTCAGGCTTTATAGGTTAGCTAAGAAAATAGTATGTGTTTGTGTATAGTTATGCATACTTATAAGTGAGTTATTCAAAACGGTGTTGCAAGAACTTTAACCTGGTAACCATGTTTAGGGTAGATTGACATAGGAAGAAACTATAGTCAAAGTGACAAGTTAGGTAGTTACTGTAGTAATTTAGGTATCTGGTGAAAAGGACCAAGACTAAATGGTGAAGGTGGAAATAGAAAGGGAAAGACTTCCATCAAAGTTGGCTGTCAGACTGCCCAACTCCTACATACTTAGTATAGCAAAAAACTGTACATTTTACCTGACTGAAATGATTAATAATAATTAAATTAAGAAATGATTAGGATTCAGAAATGACTACATTAAGTGATTACGTTTACTGCAGAACTGCACAAAAAGCAAGCCAGAAGCTCACCAGCAACAGAAAAGGGGGCCACTGAGAAAGCCACTACCAATACGGGAAAACAAACTGGCAGCCTCCTGGTGTGACTAGAGCCATGTTTACTCTGCAGGGCTCTGTATTGGAGGCAGTGAGAGTGGAGGCTTCCATTAGAAAGATTTAAGAGTAGACCAGAACTCATAGTATCAGTCTTGGAAGTTACCTGTGAGGTCATAGCATTCCTCACTTCGGGACACCTCAGGCACCCTGGCACTCTGAATCTCAAAGATCCAAGAGGCCCTAACTCTAGAAAGTGGAGGTCAGTATCAGAATCTGTGTGACTCAGGTTGAAACCAGGCAGAATGAAGTCGTCCACAAGGGGCAAGAGTGGCCTGTCACGGTTTAGAAGCCTAGTCTGGAAAGCTGAATAAACTGAAAAACAAAACAAAATCAAAAACAAACAAAAAAACCATTTACCACTGTAAGAATCAAAATCTGACCTGGGAGGAGGGAACATTATGATAATAACAACTGTAAATAGAGACTCAGAGGGAAAAAAAGTTGATGTTCCACCAGGACTACCTAGAAGAAATGAAGCATGAGGTTTAAAAAACAAAACAGATTTTGGAAGAGTTGAAAGTAGAATAAACAGCGTAGAAAGGAAAGTGGTAAACCATATTCAAACAACAGATCCCCTGGAAATCAGAATAAACCAAGCAGAAATCCTTAACTCCATGAAATAGTAAAACATACATTCATATTAGAATAAATTCAAAATATTGAAAAAATTAGAGTATGTCATATAATTAATATCTTTAAAATTCACTTGGAAAATATACAACTTCAAGAAATCACTGGACTTGAAACTATTTGATAGGTGTGTTTTTTAAAATATTAAACGAACATTTATAGTTGTTTACCACTCTGGGGTGGGGGGTAATCTTTTAACAAAGTAAAATTAACAATATAGAGATATAATCTGAAAAATGATGGAGTTCCATATCTTTATCACTTATACCTTTATATTTAGGGGAAAAAAAGAAAGCAAAAAACTCCCATTTTTTCTCCTTCCCACCTCCAACTCCATTTAAAAAAAATTTCCTCAGAGACTTATTAGCTGCATGACTTCAACAAGTCACTTAACCTCTGTCTGTCTCAGTTTTCTTAACTGTGGAATAGCACCTACCACCTGTAGTGATTGTGAAGGTCACCTGAGGTAATATTTATAAAAATGCTTAGCAAAGTGCCTGTCACGTATTAGATGTTTAATAAATGCTTGTTTCTTTTCCCTATTCTCTTTCCTTCTTTTCATTATTTCCTGTTGGATTGTTTTGCCTCCATGTGAATTTTATTGGTCTACCTAAAAAACCACAATTTAAAAACAGACCTGGGTACTTTATTTCAAGAAATCATAAACGAATATTCCAAAGTATATTAAAATCATGGGGAAGAGTGAAAAGAGAATCTGCTGAAAAGAAAAATTATAGGAATGTCAGCCAAAAAAGAAATACTGTGTGAGCATCCTGATTGAAAGAAGGTTCCAAGAAACTGCGGTGTTGATCATAGAAGATTTGGTAGCTTCTTCTAAAAATGAGAGGAGATCATAGAATACAGTATTCCAGAAAGCTAAAGATACAGAAATAGAACCAAGAATAACCATTTTAAAAACTAGATACAATTCTATAGTGAAAAAAAAATGGCCCTTTAGTAGAATAGAAGATTTTAAAGCATTTCTAATTAAAAGACCAGAGCTGAAGAGGAACTTTGAAATGCAAAGACAGAAGGTCAGGAGAAACTTGGAAAAGTTAATTTATTTGAGCACTTTGGTTAAGGCTATAAAATAATATCCTAATGGAGAGAAGAAACAAGTGTCCCTTCAGGATCTTAATGTCTTCAAAGAGTATTAAAGAACTTAAATAAGAAAAATGGAGGATCTGGAAGTACATTGGCATTATTCTAAGGGTTTTGAGGGGAAAAAGAAGGGAGGGTAAAAGGAATACACAAGTATAGAAAGGAAGAAGAGGAGATGGAACTTGCTGCTTTCTCATGATTGTGGTACATGAGAAAAAGGAATATACAAACATGAAGGGAGGGTTGGGGTGACCATGAATGGACGAGGAAGGTTGAACATAGTTGGCACTCACACACACATCGTACGTAACTAACATATTGTAAAAATATATCGGACTGAACTGATAAACAAGTAGAAGTTGATAAGGAGGGGAAAGAGAATAATTACAAGCAAAATAAGCTTCGTGATCCTGAAGAGGTGGTTGAAAGGACCAAAAAAAGCAACAACCACCAAGAAATGAATAAGCAATTATAGTACAGTATCAATTGGTGATGACTAAATTGTAGTATATTAATGTAGTAGGATATTAATATGCTGTAGGAAATGTCAAAAGATGACTTAAAAGAATCTAAGGTAGCGGGAGTTGGTGTACTGTGAAGTGAGAAAAACCAGGGGAACAATTTTTACAAGGACAGCAGGATTGTTAAAAAAAAAACCCAACAACTTTGAATGGCTTATGAATTCTGGTCAAAGCAGTGACTAAACCATAATTTCCAGATCACCTATGATGAAATGTTACCCACTTCCAAACAAACAGGTGATAGATTCAGAGTACAGAAAGAGGCATATATTTTTGTACATGACCGTGTGTGATAGATATAGTTTGCATATTTTTTTACAAGAGTTCTCTCTTCCCTTTTAGTGGGGGTGGGGAGAAAGACAGCATTAGCATTAATGTTGCCAAAATAGAGGGCCATTAGGAAGGTTTTTTTTTAAATGTTGGAAGAGGGAAGAAAGTTAAGAAGAAAGCCCAGACAGGCAGTGATGTTTGAAAGTAATATGAAACTTAACACACTTTTGTTTAAAAGCAAAAGTGGTATGAGATTTATAGTTTTGTTTGTTAAAATCCTCTTAATGTTGTGTGTACAGAAATTCTTTTTTTAATGTTTGAATTCAGAATAAAAAAGTAATAAATATCCCTTGGACTGTATAATAAAACCTTCTACCTCAGAAAAGGTGAGGAATTACTGAGGGAAATCTGCAATATTTATTGTCAAATTCAACCACTGGTGGTTTTTTGTGATTATTTTGCTTTGTGACAAGGGAATGTTTGAAATGACTTTGATTTAAAGACAAAAGAAATGAATAAAATACATTTCTTCAAGGAAAAGAAGGATTAGGTATGATAAACTTTATAAAGAAGGGATTAATTCTAAAAGGTTTGACTTACATTTAGAAAACCAGGTTATCCGGAATATTTCATTCTGCTAGAAAACTGGGTATTAGTTTATATTGTATTAGTAAAATATTGTTTGTTACCATTCTTGCTAAGTGCTTATTGGTGGTGACTATTTGAGGTGTTAAATAAGTTTTTAGATGGGCAGGCTTTGCTTTACCTTTGTAAGCTACAGGAATTCCTGTGTTTGTAAGAATGAGTGAGTGATGATGGTTCTATATTATGTTTCCTGTTCTCTCATTCCCATTTTATCTTGTCTCCTTAGTCAAAGCAAGAGAAGATGGCATGCAGGGATAAAAGCATGCAGGACCGCCTGAGACTAGGTCACTTCACTACTGTCCGGCATGGAGCCTCTTTCACTGAACAGTGGACAGATGGTTATGCTTTCCAGAATCTTATCAAGTAAGTTTATTTTCCTGAATTAGTAGATGAAAAGCATCCTTTGACTTTGTTAGTATTTTATAAAAAAATTTTTAAATACTTTTTATGCCCATTGACTTTTCATCTAATTTTGGTCATTATAGGTGAAAAGAGATTATAGAGAAATTAGGGTTCAGAAAAGAGTACTTGACACAATGGCAAAGGAAAAACTATGGGGAACAGTTTTTTTTGTTTTATTTTTAAATTATTAACTCTGAAGCCTAAATAAAAGAAGCTTGATGGTCTGGCTTTATTGTTTTCAAGTGTGTTGAGTGTTTTTACAAAAGATATTCTGAGTATGTTTTTCTATATCCAGAGTAGCATAAACAAGAAGAAGTAGGTTGGAATTTAAAATAGGGACTTAGACATAAAGAAGAATTTCTTTACTTTTAGGGTAGAAAATAGGATGGGGTATGGGAGAAATATTAGTAATCTCTGTCCCTAGAGCTATACAAATATGCAGTTTATATTAAATTTAGATATAATTCCACCTGAGGGCAAGTGCTGCAGATGATTAAGGATTATTAGCAGTACCATTTGTAGCTGCCTGTACCAGTCTTTTCTAACTCTCATTTTGAAATGATATTGTTCTGAAGCTATAGTCATTGTCTACGGAAGCGAAATAAGACCCTAGGCTCTGTTTTTGTTTTTTGAAAGGAAAATTTAGCTACTACTTCTCAAGTATTTTGAGGTTTTGGAACCTACAGAATTGTTCATTAGGCCAGCGGTATTCCAAATATTTTGTCTGTGGCCTGTTTGAATGCAAAAGAACTACATCCCACTTCATGTCACCAATAAGAACCTTCCAAAACAACCCACTAGGTTTTATTGAAATGATCTCTTTTTAAAGTTTTTAAATGTTATTGTCTGCTTTGTTATTACAATACACACATTTACAAATTACTCTCACTACACAAAAGGTATTTTGTAACAAAGTAAAACTAATAATAATAATGACCTCGTCTGAAAGTACATGTAGTATATCATTTCTATAGCAACTCTACATCCCTAGCATTGAAATATATTTTCTCTCCCTCCTACTCTACCCCTCATTGGGAAAAAAAGAAAAGTAAAGGAAAAACTAATTTTCATAACAAATATGTAAAAGTTGAGCAAAACAAATTCTCTCAGTGGCTGTATGTGTGTGTGTGTGTATATGTATGTATGTTTCTCTCATTCTGCACCTCAAATCCATCACCTCTCAATAATGGATATCATATATCATCAATTGTCCGCTGGAACCTTAAATGGTCATTATATTGATCTACAATTCTCACAGGTACCTTTCAAAATTACTTGCTTTTACAGTGTTGTTATTATTGCATGAATTATTCTCCTGGTTCTGCTAATTCTTTATCAGTTTATGAAAATTCTTAACAATTGTTGATATATACTGATGTTATTTTTTTGGTTCTGTTCACTTTGCTTTGCATCAGTTCATTTAAGTCTATGTTTCTTTGAAATCATCTGTTTCTTCATTTCCTTCTTTCTTTCTTTCTTTCTTTCCTTCCTTCCTTCTTTCCTTCCTTCCTTCTTTCTTTCTTTCTTTCTTTCTTTCTTTCTTTCTTTCTTTCTTTCTTTCTTTCTTTCTTTCTTTCTTTTTTTCTTTCTTTCTTTCTTTCTTTCTTTCTTTCTTTCTTTCTATTAGGCAGTTGGGGTTAAGTAACTTGCCCAGGGTCACACAGCTAGTAAGTGTTATGTGTCTGAGGCCACATTTGAACTCAGGTCCTCCTGAATCCAGGGCTGGTGCTCTATCCACTGCTCCACCTAGCTGCCCCTGTTTCTTCATTTCTTACAGCTCAATAGTATTCCATTAATTAATATACTACGACTTATTTAGCCATTCCTCAATTAATGGGTATCCCTTTAGTTTCCAGAGGTTTTTTGTCACTACAAAATGAAGTGTCAAAAATATTTTTTGTATTAAGGGATATTTTCTTATTTCTTTGATCAATTTTGAGGCCTATAATCCCAAATTTCCTTTCACAATGGTTGTACCAATTCATAGGATCTTCATCAAGGTGTCAGTGTGTCTGTTTTACAGTCTCTCCAACATTTCTTATTTTCTTTTTTTGTCATCTTTGCCACTCTAATCAGTTTGTGGTAGAATGTCAGAATTGCCTTAACTTACATTTTTCTAATTAGTAGTGATTTGAAGGCAGTTTTTCATATGGCAGGTTTTTTTCCCTTTAGGACTGCCTGTTCATATCCTTAGACCATTTATATATTGGGGAATAATTCCTGTTCTTACAAAATTTGAGTCAGTCCCATATATATCTTACAAATGTGTCTTTTCTTAGAGAACCTTACTATAGTGGTTTTGTCCCACTTTGTTTCCTTTTCCTTTTTTAAATTGGGGTTAAGTGACTTTGCAAGGGTCACACAGCTAGTAAGTATCAAGTGTCTGAGGCCAGATTTGAACTCAGGTCCTCCTGACTCCAGGACTGGTGCTCTATCCACTGTGCCACCTAGCTGCCCCCCTTAATTGCTTTTTAAAAATTAAATTTATATTTGTAGATCAGCCTGTTCTCCCTTTTTCTTACCTTCCCTGCCCTCCATTGAGAAAGCAAGAAAAGCAAATCCCCTGTTAAAAATATGTATAGTCGTATAAAACAGATTTTGCATTTTCCATGTCTTAAAAAAAAATCTGAATCTGTTCTTTGAATCCATCACCTCTCTGGTAGGAGTTGAGCAGCATATTCTGTCATGAGTCTTAAAAGAATTATACTTGATCATTGTGTTGACCAGCATTCCCACGAGTCTTCCTTTCTTCCATTAGTTGTTTAAAATGTGTTTCTTATAAACAACATATTGTTTCATTTTGCATTCTAATCTGTTCTTTAACTAGTTGGTGCAGTGAATAGAGAGCTAGACCTAAAATCAGAAAGGCCTAAGGTCAGATCTGACCTCATACAATTATTAACAGTGTGACCTGGGACATACCACTTAAAACCTATATTTGTCTTAGTCTCCTCATTTGTAAAAATGGGGATAATAATAGCACTTTACCTTCCAGGGTTGTTGTGAGGCTCAAATGCAACTGTATTTGTAAAGTGTTTAGCACAGTCCCTGGCACCTAGTAGGCACTCTATTATTATGGCTGTCATTTCTTTATCTCTTTCTTTCTTTCTTTCTTTCTTTCTTTCTTTCTTTCTTTCTTTCTTTCTTTCTTTCTTTCTTTCTTTCTTTCTTTCTTTCTTTCTTTCTTTCTACCTCTTCCATTTTATTGGTGCATTCATCCCCTTTACAGTTATGATGTTAATTGTGTATTTTCCTAGATTCAGTTCTCTTATATTTTTCTACTCCATATATTCTTCACTCTCTGTTTATTACAAGTTAGTACCCTTTATCATTTTCTTTTTGTTTGTTTCTTTACTATACCCTCTTCAAGCTTTAGGCTTTATTTTTTTAATTATAACTCCCTGAATCTATCCTCCCTATTATGTTAACTTTCCCCTATTCCTGTTCCTATCTATCCCTGTTAAATTGAATATATTTCCACATTAAACTCGATTCCCCTCACTCCTTCCATGTTTACATACAGTTCTCTTTTTTGGACAGTTGAATTAAGTGTGTTAACAAGGTTTTTTATTTTATTTTTTACAAGGTTTTTTTTTTACTATATTTTTTTCATTTTCATTTAATCTATCTTTTCCTTCTACCTTTTTCATTTTTCTTAAATCTTTAAAACATAAAAATAATAGGTCTTTTTTCTTAATTCACTGTATTATGCTAAAAGAAACCTTAAAACATCCCCCTTCTCCATTAAAATATAAACAGTTTGTCCTTCTAAAGTCCTTTTTTATTATCCACTTGGAATTGCTTTTTTTATTTTTCTCTTGATTTCCATGTTTACATTTCATAATTCCTAATTTATATGTTTTTTTTCCTCATCTGGAATCCATTTCATTTGTAGAATAATGTTTAGTTTTGCTGGATAAGTTACTGGTTGTAGACCTTCATCTTTTGCATTTAGGAATATCTCATTCCATATTCTTTGCTCCTCAAAAGCCATAGCTGCTAAGTTTTTCTTTTCTTTCTTTCTTTCTTTTTGGACTTAATTTTTTTATTTTAACATATGTTTTTAAGACTTTGGGTTATGAATTTTCTCCCTTCCTCCCTCCCCACCCACCCCCATTGAAAAAGCAAGCATCTCGATACAGATTGTAGATATGTACTCATGCAAAACACTTCCATAGTAGTCCTGTTGTGAAAAACTAAGTATATTTACCTTCATCCTATCCTATCCACCATTTATTCTATTCTCTCTTTTGACTCTGTCCCTCCTCAGAAGTGTTTGCTTTTGATTATCCCCTTTGCCAGTCTGCCCTTCTCTCTATCTACCCCCTGCTCTCTTGTCCCCTTCCCCTGTTATTTTCCTGTAGGGTAAGATTGTGTATGTTATTCCCTCCTTAAGACAAATCCTATGAGAATAAGATTCAGTCATTCCCTCTCACCTTCCTCCATTTCCCCTCCACTGTAAAAGCCTTTTCTTGTCTGTTTCATGTGAGATAATTTGCCCCATTCTACTTCTCCCTTTCTCCTTCTCCCAGTATAATTCTCTCTTACCCCTTAATTTTATTTTCCAGATATCACCCCTTTATCTTCAACTCATTATGTGCCCTCTATCTACGTGTCATCTATCTATCTATCTATCTATCTATCTATCTATCTATCTATCTATCTATCTAATATATATATATACATACATATATTTTTTTTCCCTCCCACTACCCTAATACTGACAAAGGATTCATGAGTTACAAATATCATCTTTCCATGCAGGAATGTAAACAGATCAGCCTTAATAAGTCTCTTGTGATTTTTCTTTCCTGTTTACCTCCTCATGTTTCACTTGAGTCTTGTATTTGAAAATCAAAATTTCTATTCAGCTCTGGTCTTTTAATCAAGAATGCTTGAAAGTCCCCTATTTCATTGAATGACCATTTTTTACCCTGAAGGATTATACTCAGTTTTGCTGG